AGTGCAATGTGTGCGGTCGTTTGGGCCACTACGACAAGTGTTGCCCTACCAACAAACCCAAGGGACAGCGTCGGCGGAAGCTTCAGCGCCCTTCCACCAGTGAGGGCCGCCCACAGTCTTCCAATCAGAAGCATGACGACCCTGGACAACGCTCGAGCCATATTAGGAAGATGTGCTCCCCTTCGCGTCCCAGGACCAAAGTTCCCCAGCACATCAGCGTCATCGTGACCTACGGCAGTGTGTCATCCCGTCTTCAGATGTTGCCCGACATCGGCGCTGATGCTACAGTCATCGGTCCCCAGCATTTGCAATGCTTGGGGCTCTCTCCAAGTGATCTAGGACCGCCCCCCAAAGATCTCCGCTTTACGGCAGATGGTTCACAAATGGCCCCAGCCCTAGGTTCACTCCAAGCACAGGTCGCCTTTGGCAACAGGTCGTGTCAAGCCTGGATTGATGTGGATAACGGTGTCCTGACTCCTTTGCTGTCCTACAGACATTTTCAAGAGTTGGCCATCATCTCCCAGGACTTCCCAAAACCTATTCTTGAGGTAAAACCAATAGGGTGCGCGAAGGGAGCAGCAACTACCCTGCTGTCGCCCTACCCCTGCCTCTTGCCAGTGACACCTCTCCTTCGGATGCTTGGAAGTGCTTCCTGAAGGAATTCAGCGACGTTCTGGTGACCAAGTCTGCTCTGGAATCCAAGCCTCTCAAAAAGATGATAGGGCCTCCCCATGAGGATCCACTTGAGGGACGACGTGAAGCCCTTCGCAATCTACACCCCTCGACTGGTCCCCCTGGCCTTCCGTGATGTGGTCAAAAACGAGCTGGACTCCATGGACACCCAAGAAATTATTGCACCAGCCGGCGATGACCCGTCTCCATGGTGTCACCCTATGGTAGTCGTCATAAAACCTAAAGGTGGTGTTCGGATCACCACTGACCTCTCCAAGCTCAACAGCCAGGTGTCTCGTCCTGCCCACCCTTCTCCCACGCCCTTTGCAGCTATACGCAGTGTGAACCCGAAGACGCACTTCTTCATGACGATGGACGCCCTGTGTGGATACTGGCAGATAGAGCTTGCCGAAGAAGACCGACTACTTACAACTTTCATCACCCCGCATGGACGTTACAGTTATTGCCGTGGCCCCATGGGATTCGCCGCTACAGGAGACGCTTTCTGCCTTCGAGCTGATATGACTCTACAAGGTCTGGCAAACTGCGTGAAAGTGGTCGACGACATACTCGTGTACGATGAGGATTACATGGATCACCTCTGCCGTATCTACGAGGTACTCAACAGGTGCCGGACGCACGGCATCACCCTAAATGCCGACAAATTTGTTCTGGCCAGCTCTTCAGTGGACTTTTGTGGGTACACCCTCTCAGGGAATGGTATTGCAGCTGACCCGGAGATGGTCCGCGCCATCACGGATTTCCCCACCCCTGCTAACCTCACCGACTTGAGGTCCTTCATCGGTCTCGTCAACCAGTTAGCAGAGTTTTCGCCGGACATCTCCGCAGCTGCCCAACCACTTCGCCCCCTGATGAGCCCCAAGAGGACATTCCTGTGGACCCCGACCACGACAAGGCCTTCCAGCAAGTGAAACAGGCCCTGTCTAGTCCACATGTCCTCGCCACCTTTGACCTAGCCTTGCCGACGGTTCTGCAGACAGATGCCTCACGCTTGTACGGCGTGGAATACGCCCTACTGCAGGATCATGGTGGAGGGCAGTTCCGGCTCGTCCAGTGTGGCTCGCGTTTCCTCTCTGACACCGAGACGCGCTACGCCACTATTGAGTTGGAGCTGTTGGCTGTGGTTTGGGCGATGTCCAAGTGCAGGTTCTACCTCATAGGCCTGCAACACTTTCACCTAGTGACCGACCATCGCCCGCTTGTCCCGATCCTCAACCACTACAAGCTGGACGCCGTGGAGAACCCTCGCTTCCAGCGTCTGAAGGAGAAGCTCTCGGCGTACATCTACACAGCAGTGTGGCGTGCCGGTAAGGAGCTCTGCATTCCTGATGCCTTATCCTGCTCTCCTGTCAGCCGCCCTACTCCAGAAGACCATGTGCTCGACGCCGACCTCGCTCTTTCCGTCAGGACTGTGGTCACCCTACACGCAGTCCAAGCCCTTCGTTCGAACCTGTCACCAGATGACGACAAGGCAATGGAGGACCTTCGAACAGCGGCCCGAGATGACCCTTCCTACGTCCAACTCGTCGAGTGTGTGAGGAATGGATTTCCTAGCAACCGCTACGACTCTGCTCCCGTATTGGAAATTCAGCGATGAACTCTACTGAGACGGGGACCTTGTTCTGTACGGAGCACGTGTAGTTGTCCATGCTGCCTCACGTCCCTGCGTCTTGGCTCGCCTTCACGACAGTCACCGTGGAGCTGAGGCCACCAAACGACGTGCACGACAGACTGTGTTCTGGCCCGGCATCGACTCCGACATCTCCAATGTTGTCCGTGCGTGTGAGCCCTGCCAAGTATTACAACCCAGCTAGCAGCAGGAACCCTTCATGAGTGATTAAACCCACCATTTTTGAAGTCAATGGATTTCAGCGGTCAGAAAGTTCCTTTGTTATCGGGGAGACCGCCTTTGGTTGGCTGTTGTCATCGGCGCGTAATGATAATGGACGCCTGGGAAGCCGCCACCATCAGCAAGTTCCGCCACCACTTCCGTGACGGGCGTTTTGCACGCCCGCGAACCGGATATTCTAGTTCACAAGCGACTTTTGCCAGTTCTTTGACCGAAGGAGTCTGAAAGATGTGTTATCATCGCCCATTACCCGCAGAATGTCCAACGGCCACGCCAGAGGCTGGAGGTCAAATCCTCATCTCAAAGTGTGGCTCTTCTAATATTGACTGCGAGGCCTTTCTGATCAGCCTCTTGAACCGAACAGCAACTTCCAATCACACCGAACGCCCCTCGCTCAGGTTCTTCGTTTTGTGTCCTGCTCGCCCCTCAGCTGGCTTTCTCCACAGGATTGCATCGCCGAGTCAACGTGTTCATAATGTCGTCGCCCGCTACAACGACCACGCCCGTCCTCTTCCCAAGTTGAGTGTTGGCACCCAAGTCCATGTTCAGGACCCGACCTCCCTACGTTGGGACAAAGTCGGCGTAGTCATGGGTCTCAGTAGGTCATGGGACTACCAGGTGCGGTTACCCAGTGGTCGTGTGTGGTGGAGGAACCGCCGTTTTCTCCGCCCCGTAACAACGCCTTCTGCTGACCCCGCCACCAGTGTGAGTCCCATACCCTCCCCAGTGATCAAGTCCCTCGACGCTCAGAACGGATTCAAAAGAAAAGGTCCGCTCAAGACTTGGCGGTATATATATATATATATATATAGGCCTGATGGTAATATTTATTCAGCCTAGCTAGCAGCGTGTGGCAATGTATTTACCATGTCCCACATGCTTAATTAATGTGCCTGGCGACATATGGAAGCTGCTAATGTATCACTTGCCACATGTCGCCTGAAAGGCTAGTTGACCTCCCAGACAGAGTAAGGAGCGCCACCTCCCTTGTGTATCTCTGTTTATCCAGTAAATAGAACCTACGAAAACCCTACAGGTGTTTGTGTTCGCTCCTGTAGATAGAACTTGATACCCAGAACATATACAAGAACCACCTCCTCAACTCTAGCCCATGGGTTCCTCTCTTCTATATTGTTAGCAATGTAGCTTGGTGTTAGAGAATGTGTACATGGTTTTTTTGGTGAGTGTCAGGCCGTCAGTGAGACACTTTGACTAGCAGCTACCTTAGGCCTAGTTCTAGACTTTCAATGAAGAGTATCACAGGGTAGAGTATTAATTTAAGAAAATTTACGGCTAATCCGATATATTTTCATGTTTTAAATTGTTGTTTTATGTATGAACTTGAAGACAATTCAGACCAAATGACCCAAACATTGAAAGGAAAACACCATGTTCTAGGCTAAATGAGTAATTTAAGAAAAGTGATTTGTCATTTAGGTTAGGCAAGGCTATACTATCATTAACCAATTAATTTGAAATTGCCCAGAATAAGGCTATCTTATTATAGCTTATGTGTCTTGTCACAGGCCAACATTAGGCCCGTGGTTATTTACCCAAATTCTATTATGGGTAAAACACCAAATACTGTGAGATTTTAGGGTTACGTGATGTTGTCTCACACTCAGGATGGGTTGGAGAAAGGAAACTCTTAATGGTGGTTTTCTTATATAAAATATATTATTTATAAAAGTCTGGTGCTGGGAAGTTGCTGCTTGGAAAAGGAGTTGCTGCGTGGTAGAGTAACCACTACAAGACCTCTGCTAGCCGGAACAATTGGTGAAGAGCACTTCCGTGAATGAGAGTTTTCCCGTTAACGAGATGATTATCTCAAATCAAGAAAATATCCCTCGTCCCCCGAATGCTTATGGTAATGGAAAAATGTTCTCGGTAGTTCCTGAAATTGCCCATTATATCATCTCTCGAACCCAGAAATATATCCCCCATCTCCGGAATTTTCTCGGTTATCAGGGAACCTTTTCTCATAATTTTCAGGAAAATGTGCCCCTTTGAAAATCATTACCTAAGCCATAAGTTTCCTGCAAAATCATGCTTTGGGAATTAATTACGGCTTTCAGAAAGTTCTGAGTTTCAGGGATTCCGGCTAATGGAGATATTTACAACCTAATAAAATGAACACGGGTCAAAAGACTCTCCGGCTCCTGAGAATGCTGCTGTTCCTACCAGAAAGCAGTTTCAAATGCGAGTATGCGACAGACAAGAGGCAAGAGGATGTTTTTTAAATGCTTTTACCACTATTATTTACTTTCATACTGTACAATTTTATTCATTTTTAAATGAGTACAGAGATTTTAACACGCTGTGCATTTTTAAGTATTTTACCCCTAATGCCAGGCAAAACCCTAGGCCGTAATTGTTTTTCTTCTTAGGCATAACCCTTCTATTCTAGGCCTAATGATTAAACTTTGAATAAGTTAGTATCAACATAAAAATACTACTGTTTAATAATTATTTTTTATTGCAGTATAGAGGTAATGCTAATAAAGCATACATTGAATTAACTTTTATTTTCAATATACTGTACATAATAAAATGAACTTCTTTATTGAAAATACAGAAAATAAATGGCTTTCTTTTACCTTCATAAGATAAGCATTTTATATAGGAAAATAAAGTATGTACTATATCCTTGAGCAATTTGATTCCAATACAGTATACTTTTAATACTACTAAATACCAAAGGCACTGAAGTTTGTGAAAACAAAAATCATTATATAAAACATATTTGAGAAATTGAAACAATAAAAAAATATTGCCACTGTTTGCTTCTTAAACTACACAATTTGACATGAGTCACCACATCGTTGTGAAAAATTAATACAACTACTGTTAATTGTTGCCATTTTTAAGATTTAAAAATGGAATACAGTATAATTTTCATATGTCTAGAATTACTGAAGGAACTCTCATGACTAGAATGTACCTGCATCAACACCCGTATATTAAAGTAAACTTATAACCAAATACTGTACTACTATAAGTAATAAAGTAAACAAATAGCAAACTCTTGGCTTGTTAAGCTATACAATTTAGCATGAGACAGCACATCCTTATGAAAGAACCAATGCAACAACTTGCTCTTTGGAGAATAATGTGTGCTAAATAGCAGTGATTACAGTAGGCTGTTGGTGAATTTGCACCATTATTTCTGTTTCAACCTACTTGAATCATACAAACTAATTAATTAAACAGGTTGAACTGGAAATTAACTACGTATTACCAAAATAAAGGAACCTTTAAAAAATAAAAATAAGTACACGTGTCTGTTTTCAAAGCTATACATTTGATTGTGGTGTGAACTTTTACCCAAAACCTGGGTAAACATTATCCTAGTAGCACTGCAACACGTGTTATTAGTTAACAAGTGTGTATATCCTCAGTCAGCAAGATGGTTAGAGAATCCTCTTTCTTTTGAATGGGCCCCAACATAGATTCCTCGCTGGAATGAACAGCAGTAAACCTAGCTCCTGAGGGTCCTGGGGTTTGTTCTCTTCCTTCTTCTGGAAAGAAATGTATAATAGTTTGATTGAAGTCTATGTTAAGGGTATAATTAAAATATATAAATATCTAAAAGTTTTTAGAAAAAAAAAATGGTCTGAAAAATAGTGTTGACCATCTAAAAAGATTTGTATAAAATATTTTTAAATGTAAATATAAACTAAGTTAACATGGTTACAATATTATAAATTGATTTAATTATAATATACGGCATTTAGTTCCAGGCGTTAAATTTCTTATATTTGCGCTTCTCAATTTTTTCCATTAACATACGAGTTATAACAACATTTAATATCTAACTTTGGGAAGCAATATGCCAGCTATAAATTTAACCAACTTACTGATGTTGCTTATTTTTAAAAAATATACAAAAAATAAATTTACTGTATATTTCAAACGTAAGAAAATAGTGAAAAAATGGTACCAAAAGTGCTTTTGGAAATAAAAACAGGGACAGAAAAGAACAAAATATATCAGAGGGTTGGAAAAGTATGTTGAGTGAATTACCATCAATAAGTTCTTCACTTTCCAAAATCGCTGGAATCCCATGAATAAAGGCTGGATCTAAGAGTTGAAGAACTGCTTCGTCAATTGCAGTGTATGTACAGGGTGTTTTCAATTTGGAGGCCGCCTCCTTCAAGAGAAAAAAAAACAATTCAAACTTTCTTACTGTGAGCTGTGGTTACATACACTGTACACAACTATGTTATATGTACACTACTATGTTAGAAAGGAATCTATTAAAATAGTTCAAAACATTACAACCTAACCTATCATTGTAGCTGTAGCCCCCCAAATTCTCCTCTATCTATGTCAAAAGTTAATTAGATTTATGGTAACAAACAATAAATGGTAAAATAAGTCAAAAATAATAATAGCAGCCATAATTTTTCAGCCTGTATTAGTTGTAAAAGCATAAGATAGAACACCATTGCCTATAAGCCTAACAGTAAGATTTGCATATTAATGTGTATACCAAATATGAAATTAAATCATTTGATGACTCAAAATTAACGAAAAAGAACATGAGGAATTCTATAGTAAGCTACATATTATGACCTTCATTACCATCAAAAATAACGTAGTTTATAACAGTAACCAAACCCACCTAACCTAACTTCATTACCAACGGGAGGCCTCTGCCACCCTGGACCACCCAGAAGAATATTAAACATCTCTGTCCCATGTCATTTGCGACACAATGATTAGTGTCTTAACATTGTCTCAACTATAAGATAGGTATATTAAGAAAATCCAAAAATTGTGGGGCAATTATTAGCAGTGATACCGACTAGCTACAACCACCTCAAATCGTAGCAAGCCTCAGAAAAAACAGAGTTAAGTTTGTTTCAGAGTGGCAATCAATACCTAGGCTAACAATATTATGACTTACCTGTTCCACCAGTATATTTATTATCTTACTTTTACTTTTTACCTTTTTCCTCTTCGCCACTGATCGGCTCACTAGCCGCCCGGGCGATCGGTCACGTCTCTGTCACCCACTGTTGTGCTGTTTTTTTTCTTAACGCTTACACGTAAATCAGAAAACATCCGCTTGACCTCTCAACAACATTGTTGGGTATTAGAGCCACAACATTCACTGCCTTTACTACTTCTTACCAAACATGATTCTTCAATTTGATTGTACATCTCGAGTCCAATTTTCCTAAAATTATTTTCTTTCTTTTGGTGACTTCACACACCATGGCGCTCTGAAATTTGGTCGTTCCTCAGGTAGTTGTCCTTTCATCTTTTGTTTACAAATTAATATCACGTGCGTCGCTCTCGGCTGATTTCTCCTTCTCTTGTGATTGGTTGATGATTTTGTTAACTGAGCGCTGATTGGCCAACTAACTCCTGCACTATCACCTACCTTCCGACAAGAGAACTGAATTTACGGGGTAAACACTAGTTATGATAACTTACGGACTGATTAAGGAACTGTAATTAAATTTTGAGTATGCTAAATTTACGGGACTGTGAGGAGTCTGCAATATATGGTACTGTATCTCGTTAATATACATAACTTATGAGGTGTTTTGAGTATCCGGCCTGGACTGTCGGAATTTCCGACTCTTGTTTATCGAACACGCTGATTGGTCCAAATCCGGTATTTCGTCTGATAATCGGTAAATTGATGACGTGGTCGGTAAGCCGTGACGTCACTGCTCCGACAGTCGGTAAATTACCGACTTTAGGAAATATGCTTTTTCATGGCTAAAATACCATATAGAATACACAGAAATAAATTTTAGATGTATTTAATTACCTTACCTACATTTTACTAGCGATATTTTAACAGAATTATATTTGCTGAGTCACACACGAAGCGATATTGAGAGTCGAGACAAGGAAGTCAACGGTCTGTAACACTCTGAATGGTGTATAATGCAGTGTTTATTATTCAGAACTTTATAAAACTAATGACAGGAACAATGAAATTCACTGAGTATGAGGACTAGGCTACTCTAATATAATTACTGTATCTGGGATCTCCGTTACCCCTCACCACACATTATATTATAGAAAATAGTAATATTACGTCATGGACTCGCAACCAATCACAACGCGAGCAGTTGAACCAATCAGCGTGTTCGGTAAACAAGATTCGGAAATTCCGACAGTCCAGGCTGGACGACCTGTTGCTTTGGTCAGGACAACAGGGAACCAGTGTACAGCCCTGCCTGGACGACCTGTTGCTTTGGTCAGGACAACAGGGAACCAGTGTACAGCCCTGCCTGGACGACCTGTTGCTTTGGTCAGGACAACAGGGAACCAGTGTGTCCTGTTGGGTCCCTTCATAATGTCTTGTATTATAGCCTGATATTAAAAACCTTTTCGTGGAATTTACTTACATTATAATAAAATTAATAAGTTGGTGAGGTTTATAAAATAATATTTCTTGTTTGATGCTTAAAGAGACAATTAGGCGAAGCTTCAGGTAGCCCAAATATAAAGCAGCTCAGTACAGTAAACATGGCGAGCAGTGTAGGACGACTGAGGCTTCTTCCACGATTTTGTTCTTTAATCAGGTAAAGAAAATGACGCAGCAAAACTTATATATGTTTTGCTGCGGACATTTATTAATAAACTTATGACATGACAGTGTAATAGATGCTAAACTATATTACTCTAAAACTTTCATGTTGTGACGGCACCAAGTGTTTCAAGACCAGACTTGACCAAAGCAAGTACAGTTAGGAGCTGGTGTGGTAAATATTGTTCATTGGCTGGCCTCAGGGGGTCCCACTAATTACCCAAATGTAGCCGCAATGAAGTCAAATAATGGTCCTACATGAATAAATCGGACTGCCAATCACTTCTCGACTAGTATTTGGTGTCATAAAGTCACAAAAAATTGGTAAACTTAATTTAATCTTAGTTAATAGATCGAGTGCATGTACCTAACCTAACCTAACCCAACACAACTCAGATTAAATTAAGTTTACCAATTTTTTGTGACTATGACACCAAATAATAATCGAGAAGTGATTCGCAGCCCGATTTATTCATGTAGGACCATTATTTGACTTCATTGCGGATACATTTGGGTTCATTTGGGTAATTACTCGCTCCCTCGGTACAAGCACGCGATCTATTAACTCAGATTAAATTAAATTTACCAATTTTTTGTGACTATGACACCAAATACTAGTCGAGAAGTGATTGGTAACCCAATATATTCATGTAGGACCATTATTTGACTTCATTGCGGGTACATTTGGGTAATTAGTGGGACCGTCCTCAGGTTTTGGGGCATTATTCTACTTAAGGACATATAGCCCCGAAAGTTTTAAACGCTCAATTTTTGGTTAATTTTCATTAATGCACCGGTCTTTGCTTGAATAATGAAAATATGTTTTTCCGATGTTATTTGAGGAGTTTAGAATGAATTTTATTCATTTCAGCCGGGAATCAATAGTTTTTGATCCCCCCCCCTCAATTTTAACGAAAATTTAATTTTATTTCGAGTAAATAACATACATAAAAAAACGAACAAAACCTAACCTAACCTAACCTAACACAATTTTTCTGATGAAACTCTTTAATTGACATAAAATAATGTCTTTCACAATGTCTGCACAGCTCTTTCCAACTGTAGAGCCATATCTGGTTTTTCTGGGACTGAAAAATCAAATCTCTGCTCCCGAGGCACCCACGAATTGTTCAGTGGCCAAGACAATAAACTCTTGCTCAATTATAAGTCTCCTATCGCTATAGCCAATAAAAAACAACAACCCTCCCCCCCCCCACACATGCGATGTAGACTCTTAAGAAGCGAAGACAGAGGTAAGGAGCACTGCATGATGGGTGGTCAGACCTTCTCTGTGAGACGTAAACAACAAATGGCGACACTTGTGACTGACCAAATATAATAATATTATTGACAAATAATATCTCGCTTATCCTTAATTTATTATATGTCTTAGAATTGTCTAAACATAACGTAATACATATTAATAACAGCGGAGAAAGACCGGTGTAAGACTAAAAAGTGGATGAATTTATAGTCTTGCACCGGTCTTTCTCCGCTGTTATTAATATGTATTACGTTATGTTTAGACAATTCTAAAACATTTTTCTTCTGTGATAATTTTGCCGGAAATTAAGGATAACCGAGATAGTAATTTTTCAATAGGTCAGCTTCTATTAGGCTCTATGCATTGTCATTTCCATTTTTCTGTTTAATATATTAATGTGTAGAAACAATTTCTACCAATTCAGACAATTCCTTCTGGTAGTCACCCATTTCTACACCTTTACCTTCATTTCTTTTGCAAATTTGCAGTTTTGCAAAAAATTAAAATTTTAATTTTTAACAAATATAATATGCACAAAAATGGAGGTCAAATTTGAGTAAAACACAAAAATACAAAAAAAACCTTTGTTATTATACCAAAAGAACCAACCCAACCTAACCTACAAGGAGGAGGAGGATATAACTGACTAAATGAGGAGTATAACCTCAGGTAAACATGGCAGGAACCTGTGGACACCCAATGGATGAATATTTACTGCCAGTACATGCCAACAGTGTGTAATAGAGATGTGACCAACCGGTGTACCTCAAACTCGGCCCATCTTAAATAACTAACTTGGCCAATCTTAACTAACCCGGCCCACCCATTTAGCCAATTCGGCCCATCTTAAACAACCAACTGGGCCCACACCTTACTAACTTGGCCCACTTTGCACTCTTCAAGCAGTAGCTGACTAGAGGTTCAGGATTGAATTTGAGATTTATTTTATGTCTCTTGGTTCACTGAAATATGAAGTGTGTGAATGAGTGAATACCAAGGGTTCAATCGGTATGAATTTTAGGAGTTTATGTTAGAACTTAATCAATGAACCACGATTCATAACAAAGGAGTTTCCTGTCTGTTTATAAAGTGTAAAGGACAAAGTCTCTTAATGTTGGTGTCAGATTACAGGATGCATGGCCCACTTTGCACACTTCAAACAAATAGCTGACTAGAGGTTCAGGAATGACATCTGGACCCCATCTGCTTGGAGTGTATTTAAAAGGAGTGTCTGCCCAAATAATGACTGTGAAGGATGGCATAATTGCCTTAACTTGAAAGCAAGAAAAAGACAACTTAACTTCTATCTGTTAATCAACCTACTCCATAATGAAGCAAAACTAGTGACACTCCAAGTGGGGGTCTTGTCTGACAGTAAAGTACTGCTAAAACAACGGGCCAAGTATGTATGACAGCTCTTTAAACTGTAGGATGACTGAAGTAGTGGACCAGGATCTAAAAAATTTCTACAAGCCGTTTCACATCACGTGACTGTTTATCAGTATTATATGTACTTTTATGCTGCTTTTTATCATTGTACTTTTGTACTTCTTTCATTCATGCAAAAATAAATGTGTAAAATGTGTTCGTTAACCTAACTGGTCCCAGTAGGATGTGGGCCGAGTTGGACTGTATTCTGACCAAGCGGCTAACTTTCTGGCTGGGGCCATATTAAGTAGAAAGAAACTTATTTTGATGTCTTTTACCAATGAAAGCAACTTTGCTGAAGCGTAATGCTTTAAGTTCTCGTTTTTTTTTGTGGATGTAAGAATCCGCTTGGACCGAACGGGTCGGTTGTAAACAAACCAGGGTTGGAAAAAATCATGATTTAAAAAAAAAATCGATTTACAGTACAGTGGTCCCTCAGTTAACGAGCACAATCCGTTCCAGCAGGTTGCTCGTTAACCGAAAATCTCGTTAACTGAAACCATTGTTTCAATGGGTTTTTGGGTAATTGGTTCCAGCTCACCGAAAATTACCTAAATTCAACAAAAAAAGGTAGAAAAGTTCACTTACTTTGAGGTGTGTATGTAGAAGGCTCCTGGATGATGATGATGATGTGAATTTGAAGTGGGAGGTGGAGGAGAAGGAGAAGAGAAGGAAGTGGTGGTGGAGGAGAAGCATTTTAGTGCTTCTTGGAAGGTGAGTCACCTTCCATGAAAATGTCAGGAACCTCTGGACTGACAGATTCTCCACCATGAACATCCTCTCTCCTTCTTGAAGTGGAAGGCTGAGGAATAACCTTGTTCCCTCTGCCTTTTACTGAAGAAAGTGTCAATTGTGGTCTGTGGGGCATCTGTCCTCCTCACCATTAACTTATGTTTAAAGAAGGAGACCACTGAGTCTTCAACATGACACAAAGTTAGTTCAGTTTTTTCCACTTCTGGGTGCTTTGAAGCCAGTTCCCTGAACTTCTCCCAGTAGTAAATCACATCTTTCAACTGTTTAGCTGACATATGGACATCACTTTCAATTTCCTCCTCACCACTGTCAGCCTCTACCTGTAACATCTCATCCAGTTGCTTCAAGTCATCAGGAGTAAGTTCCTCCTCATGAGACATCACAAGCTCTTCCACATCCTCCTCCTCCACTTCAAGGCCCAATGACTGACCAATGGACACAATCTCCTGGTCCAACTCTGTTTCTTCCTCAAATCCCTCAAAATCATGGACTACTGATGGCCACAGTGCTTTCCATGAAGAATTGAGGGACTTTGTGGAGACTTCTTGCCATGATGACACAATCAATTTTACAGCCTCCAGGATGTTGAATTGTGTCTTCCAGAAATGTTTCAGTGTTAGTTCAGGATCATTGGAAATTGCCTGATGACACCTCCTAAACATTTTCTTCATGTACAACTTCTTGAAGTTGCTGATCACATTCTGGTCCATTGGCTGTGTGATTGATGTAGTGTTTGGAGGCAAAAACAACACTTTCACAAAGTCAAATTGATACTCCAAATTTCTGGCAAGGTCAGGGTCATGACCAGGAGCATTATCCATGAGGAGAAGAGCCTTTAAAGGGAGTTTATTGGTGGTTAGGTAGCTCTTGACAGAGGGGCAAAACACATCAACAGCCCATTCATTAAAGAGCTGTCTTGTTACCCATGCCTTATGGTTGGACTTCCAATAAACTCCAAGCTTTGTTCTTACCACTTTCTGTTGCTTGAACACCCTGGGGTTTTCAGAGTGGTAGACAAGCATAGGCTTCAGTCAGAAATCCCCTGTAGCATTGGCACCAAGCAATAGAGTGAGACGGTCTTTCATGGGTTTATGCCCAGGTAAAGAGGCTTCATCTCTGGTAATGAATGTTCTTTTGGGCATCTTTTTCCAGAACAGCCCAGTTTCGTCCACATTGAACACTTGCTGTGGAAGATAATTTTCTTCTTCCATCAGTTTTTTAAATTCATCTAAAAACTTTGCTGCCCCTTCCTTATCAGCACTAGCAGCTTCACCATGCCTAACAACACTGAAAATGTCACTTCTTTTCTTAAATTTTTCGAACCAGCCTTTGCTGGCCCGAAAATTTTCAAATTCTGTGCCTGAAGAACCAGGTAGATCTGTCTTTAAATGTTCGTAAATCTCCCTGGCTCTTTCACAAATGAATTCAGTAGAAACTAAATCACCTTTCATCTGTTTTTCCCTAATCCAGATGATAAGTAACCTCTCAGTTTCTGCAATTAGGGATCTACTTTTAAACACTCTTGTAGATTTGTCTCTCACTTTCACTTC